CTAGCCTCAATTCCCCACATTTTGAGGAAAAAAAAGTTCGAAAATTCCACCTGCAACGCATTTGAAAAAGAATAAAAACGTCAAATTTTTGCGTTTTATCATGGAAATCCTTCCGTTAATCATCCCTACAGATGTGTTAATTGATCACTATGTTCAATCTAGTAGTGTGGCACATTATACTTTTGAAAGAGAGCAACTGTTGGGCAAAATCGCTGGCAATGCAACAAAACGATTTGAGTTGACTGAGTTCTTAGCTGAGTTTCCAGGCAATATTTCCGAATCTAAGAGAGATAGCAAAATTTTCGTAACGACCTTGTTTGAAATTCAGCTATTCAAACTAGTCAAACGGTCACCGGGCTCAACGAAAATGTCGAGAAACTTCGGGACCCTTCGGGGTCACGGTCAGCTACGAAGAAAATCGCTGAAAAAGTCAGTAGTATCGTTCTAGCCACCGAGAGAGTCACTCTAATTACGGTATTGTATCGCCGTAACCGGTCAATCGAGTACATCATCGGAGTACATCAACGCGATATATTTGAGTCTAGCGCTTCGTACAGCGTCTCTATTTTATTTAATTCAATTATCAATTAATTCCGAGTTAACTATCAATTATTTTGAGTCAATCATCAAGTTCAATATCGAGAGAATCTCAAGTGCAGTGCAAATCAATAGTGTAACATTATTAATTTATCAAGACGCGTAGATTATTCCACAAGAAAGTACATCAACAGTGTGGTTTTATAATTCCGCGTGTTTTAATTTTCCACCTCCTTCCACAATTCCATTTTTCTCCAACCGGCATCTCAATTTAGCTTCAATCTCGAACAAATGGTCCTTCAAACCGGATTGGGAGAAAGTACGTGAGAGTGAGTGGAAATTTCTAGAATAAAAGGGACGCCTCGTGTGTAACGGACTTTCGGGTTTCACATGAGCAAATCTATGGACAAGTCAAGGCAATCAACAGTGCAGAGTATTGTGCCTAGTGTTTACAGTTGAAGTTCGGTATTGTAAACACCGGTAGTGACACTTCGACCTCTAGTGCTGTGTAACGTTGGAAAACCTCGGTATCCGTCGGGACTAGGCGAGGCCCAAGCCGCGCGCGCAACGCGAAAACCAACAGGCAGTTGGAAGAGCGCCCTCACCTAATAACGTGCCCTACCTTATCAACAGTGGGCACCAAGTCAACATCAGTCGGTATCTACCTGTTATCGATAAGTTACCTCACCCAGAACAGAGGCGACCACCATGTCAGACGCGGATTTAAGACACAATCAATGTATAGGGGGAACTGCAATAGGCGAACTCACAGAGACTCAGAAGTTCCAAACAAATAAACTGGACTTCAAGGTAAATTCACGTAATGATATTTATTAAGAATTGTTGCAGTCAGTCGAGAACATTAGCGGTCTCACAGTCGAGGAGTTGGACGGCCAGGAGAAAATCATCGAAGTAGAATGGAATGAATTTCTCATCATCCAAGACAAACTCAGCGAGAACCTCCTGATAACTCATCAACATATTATTCAGAGCACCTATCAGAGGGCTTCAACGCTGAAGAAGACCTGCCTCAAACTCATCTGCCAGCTCAAGGGAATCATCAAGAAGAGGGAATCAACGAGTACATCAACAACATCAGGTCAAGCCAATCAACTCAAGAGAATTGGACTGAAACCATTCGAAGGAAAATACTCTGAAGCAGTTCAGCGACCTTTTCCAGTCACTGGTGGGAAAAGATGACTCAACCCCAGTGCAAAAGCTAGTACGCCTGAAGGAGGCTCTCAAGGGATAGGCAGCAAATCTCATCGACACATTCNTAAGAATTGTTGCAGTCAGTCGAGAACATTAGCGGTCTCACAGTCGAGGAGTTGGACGGCCAGGAGAAAATCATCGAAGTAGAATGGAATGAATTTCTCATCATCCAAGACAAACTCAGCGAGAACCTCCTGATAACTCATCAACATATTATTCAGAGCACCTATCAGAGGGCTTCAACGCTGAAGAAGACCTGCCTCAAACTCATCTGCCAGCTCAAGGGAATCATCAAGAAGAGGGAATCAACGAGTACATCAACAACATCAGGTCAAGCCAATCAACTCAAGAGAATTGGACTGAAACCATTCGAAGGAAAATATTCTGAAGCAGTTCAGCGACCTTTTCCAGTCACTGGTGGGAAAAGATGACTCAACCCCAGTGCAAAAGCTAGTACGCCTGAAGGAGGCTCTCAAGGGATAGGCAGCAAATCTCATCGACACATTCACGGTGACCGATGAGAATTATGAGAAGGCTTGGCAGAAGCTAGTGAGGAAATATGAGGATTCCAGACTCATTGCTCAAGCACTGTTCAACAGGATCCTTAAACTCCCGAAGATCACCAAGGCAAGTGCGGAGAACCTCAACGCCAATGCAGTGACAGCCCTTGAAACGAGCGATCAGCTGATCACTATGACAGGCTTGTCCAAGGAGAGCAGGCAGCTCCAGTGGACCAAAAAAGAGGAGAAAATCCACAGACGGTCAAACCAGGAACGAGCTGGCCTGAGTTATCCAGAGCATCACCAACACAACTCATCACCAATCAGGCGATCAGTACTTCAACAGCGCCTGTCATCAAAGATCAAATCACCAAGAAGCCAATCATCGAGCAGAGCAGTCATCATTTAGCAGCTCATCAACAAAATATGTACTTCTAGCAACCGCCCAAGTACGAGCACAATCTCCAAAGGACTTCCTTCTCAAAGCCAGAGTGCTCATCGATCAAGGCTCACAGTTAACATTTATCTCTGAGGAACTAGTACGTCAACTACAACTCTTACGAAGATCATCAAAAATAGAGTTAGTCGGAATAGGAGACACCAACTCACGTCACACGAGAGGAGCAGTATCAGTACTGCTTCAAGCAGTCGATGGATCACAGCAAGTGCAAATCAATGCTCACACACTCAAGAAACTCACCGTCACCCTACCGTCATTCTCGTGCTCACCAACATGGATCGACCCTCTACAAGGTCTTCAAATAGCCGATCCAGATTATCTAAAACCTGGTCCAATAGACATCATCATAGGGGCTGACAGATAGGGGCAAATCATCAAAAGCAGAGTCGTCAGGTCCAGAAACACTCAATTAGTTGGCCAACAAACAATATTTGATTGGATACTATCAGGTCCAATCGAATGCAGTGGTTGTTTACCGAAGGTTTCTCTATCGGCCGTAAAGGAATCTTCAAATGAGCAACTACAAGAGCTTCTTCAAAGATTTTGGCACCAGGAGGAATTACCAAAAAATTCCAACTCATCAGCAGAGCTATCACCAGATGAAATCGAGTGTGACAAATTCCTCAAGTCTACACATACCAGAGATGACACTGGGCGCCACATCGTCAGACTTCCTCTACGGACCTCACCAACGGCGCTCGGAGAGTCTAAATTCAAGGCCTCACGTCAACTCCAATTAGTTGCACGTCGTCTCCAGACAGACGAATCATATTCCCAGCTGTACAGAGAATTCATCAACGAGTATGAGGCACTGGGACACATGCGCAAAGCACCAGAAGGAGCAGAACCCGTCACTGCATACTATCTACCGCATCACGGGGTTCTGAGAGAAGACGCACCCCCCAAGTTGAGAGTCGTCTTCAACGGCTCAAGTCCTAGCTCATCAGGATTATCTCTCAATGATATCCTCTATCCGGGTGAGAAACTACAAGTTAATACCATGAACGTATTAACATGGCTCAGAAAACACAGAATTGTCTTCGGAACAGACATAGTCAAGATGTTCAGACAGATTCGAGTGCATCAAGACAACTGGGATCTCCAGAGAATTCTGTGCACAATGAAAATCAGCAGCAGATCACCTACCAACTGACCACAGTCACCTACGGTCTCAATTGTTCTCCATGGCTATCTCTACGAGTTCTCCAACAATTGGCAGAGGATGAAGGACATCAATATCCAGCAGCCGTGGAGACACTCACCAAAGGTCGTTACGTCGACGATATCTACGGCGGAGCTGATACAGAAGATCACCGCAAAGAAATCGCATGGCAGTTACAAGGGCTCTGTCAAGCAGGTGGTTTCGTTCTACAAAAGTGGAGCAGTAATTGCCCACACGTATTAGAGGAATTGGGAATCTCAACGAGCAAGGCAATCATCCAGTTCGAGGAGCCCATCACCAAAGTGCTCGGATTATATTGGCATCAATCGTCCGATACATTTCGATTTAAATCAAAGCAGTTTGAGTCAGCAACAATCACCTCACTCACTTGGGATACACCACTTCCAAAGGAGTATGAAGATCAATGGACGAACTTCAGAGAGAACCTCAACAAACTGAATCTCGTCTCAGTGCNATAGGGGCAAATCATCAAAAGCAGAGTCGTCAGGTCCAGAAACACTCAATTAGTTGGCCAACAAACAATATTTGATTGGATACTATCAGGTCCAATCGAATGCAGTGGTTGTTTACCGAAGGTTTCTCTATCGGCCGTAAAGGAATCTTCAAATGAGCAACTACAAGAGCTTCTTCAAAGATTTTGGCACCAGGAGGAATTACCAAAAAATTCCAACTCATCAGCAGAGCTATCACCAGATGAAATCGAGTGTGACAAATTCCTCAAGTCCACACATACCAGAGATGACACTGGGCGCCACATCGTCAGACTTCCTCTACGGACCTCACCAACGGCGCTCGGAGAGTCTAAATTCAAGGCCTCACGTCAACTCCAATTAGTTGCACGTCGTCTCCAGACAGACGAATCATATTCCCAGCTGTACAGAGAATTCATCAACGAGTATGAGGCACTGGGACACATGCGCAAAGCACCAGAAGGAGCAGAACCCGTCACTGCATACTATCTACCGCATCACGGGGTTCTGAGAGAAGACGCACCCCCCAAGTTGAGAGTCGTCTTCAACGGCTCAAGTCCTAGCTCATCAGGATTATCTCTCAATGATATCCTCTATCCGGGTGAGAAACTACAAGTTAATACCATGAACGTATTAACATGGCTCAGAAAACACAGAATTGTCTTCGGAACAGACATAGTCAAGATGTTCAGACAGATTCGAGTGCATCAAGACAACTGGGATCTCCAGAGAATTCTGTGCACAATGAAAATCAGCAGCAGATCACCTACCAACTGACCACAGTCACCTACGGTCTCAATTGTTCTCCATGGCTATCTCTACGAGTTCTCCAACAATTGGCAGAGGATGAAGGACATCAATATCCAGCAGCCGTGGAGACACTCACCAAAGGTCGTTACGTCGACGATATCTACGGCGGAGCTGATACAGAAGATCACCGCAAAGAAATCGCATGGCAGTTACAAGGGCTCTGTCAAGCAGGTGGTTTCGTTCTACAAAAGTGGAGCAGTAATTGCCCACACGTATTAGAGGAATTGGGAATCTCAACGAGCAAGGCAATCATCCAGTTCGAGGAGCCCATCACCAAAGTGCTCGGATTATATTGGCATCAATCGTCCGATACATTTCGATTTAAATCAAAGCAGTTTGAGTCAGCAACAATCACCTCACTCACTTGGGATACACCACTTCCAAAGGAGTATGAAGATCAATGGACGAACTTCAGAGAGAACCTCAACAAACTGAATCTCGTCTCAGTGCCAAGGTGGCTGAGACTTTCATCGGAGACATCGAGCATCCAGATCCACGGGTTTGCAGATGCATCAACAGCAGCTATGGGCGCAGTGGTGTATATCTGCATCAAGCAAATCAATGAGCCGGCATCAACGGTAATGGTATGCGCTAAAATAAAAATAGCTCCCATCAAGCGCATGACCATCCCTCGACTCGAGCTAACAGCAGCACTCATGCTTATCCAACTAGTAGTTGCAACTCAGCATTTGCTGGAACTCAACGTAGTAGACACGTATCTATGGTCTGATTCAAGTGTAGCCCTAGCTTGGATCAAGAATCACCCATCGAGATGGAAGGATTTCATCCAAAACCGAGTCATCAAGATCCAGGAATTCCTTCCAGACACTACCTGGAGGCACATCAGCGATAAGGAAAACCCAGCTGACTGTGCATCCAGAGGACTACCACCACAGGAGCTCGCAGAGCATCAGCTATGGTGGTCAGGTCCTGAGTGGATAAATCAGGAACCTGAAAACTGGCCAGTATCACTAATTAACTCTCCAGCCAAAGCATCAACAGAAGCAAGGCCAACTCCATCACATCAGACATCTATCAAGGTCAACGCCATAGCAGAGCTCCTCAACAGATACTCAACACTAGCCAAGGTCCTCCAAGTAACAGCCACCTTGAACCGAGCCATCGACAGGTTCAGAAGACAGCCAGTCCCTCAAACACCGGTCCTAACCTCTAGAGAACTCAACGAAGCCAGACTGTTTTGGGTAAAAATTACGCAATATCAATATTTTGCATCTGTTCACAAGCTACTTGAGAGAGACCATCAAATACCACGGAGTCATCCACTAGCAAAGCTGACTCCAACTCTAGACAATGAGAGCATCATCAGGCTAGGTGGCCGCCATGAGAATTCTCAACTAGAGCCTGACGAGATTCACCCATTATCCTGCCTCGTCAATCTCGTTTAACAACATTGGTCATCGAAGAAGCTCACCGAAGGACACTCCATGGAGGAACTGAACTCACCCTAGCCTACACACGCCAGAAGTATTAATTTAGTCCAATGGCTCATCGCGCTCACTTTGGCCTATACGATACTTTCAATCATTTTGCTCATCCCTTCCATTTGAAACTTCTGATAATTCAACTCTCCTGATGATTTCGCTGGTTCCTTCCCCTCATTTGCTGAGCTTGCCTGATTTTTACAAAGAAGTATGAAACCAACTTGGTAATTTTAATGGAAAAAATCAATCTATAATTTGAAATTATTAATTTCTGAGAATCAAGGATTTGATTTACAATGATTGCCCTCTAATTGAGCCATATTCTTTGATTCATTCGATTCCTTCGAGGTTTCCTGAATCTGAATTTGTTGAAAGAGAAAATTTACATAGGAATCTACTTAGCTTCGGGATTCCATCATAATCTGCGTTCCATTCCAATAGAGGAGCGGTAAAACGATTTAAGCCGATTTTACTATTGGTCAGTTTTCAATGAATTTCTCGGAATCTAACGCAGATATCCATTGTTTTCTCATAAACTTTTTTGTAGAATGAATCGAGAGTCACAAATAGGTCGTTACAAAAATTTTTTTGGAGCTTTTTGAACTCAAATTTGGTACAAATTACAATTGGCCTTATGTTTCACTTCAGTAGCGTAGCAGCAAAACGGTTCAAGCCGATTTTGGAATTGATTCGTTTTCAATTGATATTGAGGCAACGAACTTACCCACTGCGCCAAGCCACCGGCTTACCCTAATATTCAGACCCTCGTCTTTTAACCTCCACTTTTTACACTTATGTTCTGACACTTAGTCCCTGACTCTTATATTAGGCTGAAGTGTGCCTGCTATAACCCGTCCTGATACAAAACAATCATCTCCGAATGGAAATACCCATCGCCCAATTGAGTATAAAATATAAGGAAATTAAGAATAATAGACTTAAATCAAGTATATTTTTTTCTCGAATCACGAATAATATTTTTGAAGCAAGTATATAATATACTTGATTCAAGTATATTTCATACTCAATTCAAATATATTTTTTCTATGCGTTTGTTTTCGGATAAAAGCTTTGTAATTATCGACTTTTATGATCTTCTAATTTTATTTGGCAATGATGTAGAACGTCATAAAACATCAAGATATAATGTTTTTAGAACATGTGTGTGTGTAAATGTGTGTGTATTTTTTTATAAATGTTCACGAAAAAAGTAGTAAAGTCGATGATATAAATTTGAAATTCTGTTAAATAATTAGCATCATTTAGGAGCACATCTGGACCAAATTTCAGCTCAATCGGTTAAGTAGTTTTTGAGATACAGTAATTTCTCAAAATTTTTTTGCTCAATAACTCAAAAAGTACGTGACTGAATTGAATTTTTCTGACACCCAAATATTTCTTATGATAATATTAGGTTTACCTAAATTTTTCTCGTTTCTTTCATTGAGTGCGGTGTCTTATTTAAAATTTGAATATTTAGGCACTCATTTACGATTTTGAAGAGTGAACATTATAGTTTTTAATACGCTATCTGCCAGGTCTGGAAGAGCTGTATAACTTCACAAGATAGTACTATACACGATCGCGACCGATACGCAGCACATTCGGCTCTGTAGTCTCTACGAGTTCCAACAAGAAACAAAAGCCATTGAAGCCCGCAATTCGATTTGATCTACTCTCGGAAGTAATATTGTGTCTTATGATACGTGTAAATATTGGTATAGACGCTTTAAAAATAACGATTTCGATCTTAGTAACCGGGAACGTCCTGAACAGTCTCTGAAATTAGAAGATGCTGAATTGCAAAAATTACTCGACAAAGACTCAACGGAACCCCAAAAAGAACATGCAGTTCAGGTAGGAGCTACTCAAGCCGCAGTCTCTAAACGATTACACGCAATGGGAAAAATACAAAAGGTAGAAAGGGTTCACACGAACTGACCGAACATAATTTCGGTCAACGCATGAACACTTGTCTTTCGCTGCTCGTCAAGTGCCAAAAGAAAAAATTTTCGTCAAATATTGTGTCGGGGATGAAAAATGGATATGTTTTGTTAATCGCAAACGCAAAAAGTCATGGGTGGATCCCGAACAACCATCGATATCCATTTCCCAACAAAAAATTCACTTGAAAAAAGTTCTCCTCTGCATCTGGTGGGATATGAAGGGTGTATTCTATTACGAACTTTTGGAAACAGGTCAGAGAGTTACTGCAGAACGCTACAATTGACAATTGAATAAATTGAGCGAGGTACTTGATGAGAAGAGGCCATTCAGTGAAAACGATGAAAACGAAAACGATGGACGATATTTCGAAGATTGATCTAGTATTCATATATTTCATAATGTGACATATTTTTTGATAAAAAAAAGAAAAAATTAAGTTATACACCTAATATCTATCAAATTAAGTCATAATATTCCTTCTTAACCCTTGAGTAGTCGCGCTCTCCACCGAACGTTACTGTTTGCCTGGTGGGCGATTCGCAGCCCCGTGTATTTTGCGATTTTGTGAGAAAAAAATTGGAAAAAATAATTTATTTGTAGTTTACGGGTAATTTCGAACCTTCTGTCAGTAGGAAAAAGGGATATTGAAAAAGATAGTCGACCGATAATCCTAAAATTCAATCTCATTAGGTACAAATTTTTGACATTCAGAGGTTAAACACAGGGATTTTCTATGAGTCGAGTTTTCAAACAATTTCAATAATTGATTGGTGCGAGCATGGACCAAAAAAATTGTCAATGCTTTCAATTTAGTTGTAAATAGAAATACAAATTTTTCTAAATTTTTTAAGTAACGGGATTTTCATGTGGGAAAAAAATTGAAAAAACGCTGCGATTCCCATATTGTGCGACCACTCAAGAATCAATATTAGTGTTTTGAACTCCAACAAAACACTGGTTATGTGCGGAGGCCGAAACACAGCATCCTCATGAGAGAAGCTGTTGAAGATTCGGCCTAAGGTGCCCCCTTTTGGCCCCTTTTACCCCACATCTCCGCGTGTGGAGCATGCGCGGAGCGCCTGCTGAGCAGCTAGAGCTGCGGCTAACGTCATAGAAATTGTCAGCCAGCAGTTTACTTGCTCGGATGCCGTGTGTCGGCCTCCGCGCATAACAAGTGTTTTGTTGGAGTACAAAACACTAGTATTATGTACTTTGGGCCGAGACAGGGCATCCTTATGAGAGATTTGTTTGTTTTCTACTGGAGCCCCGATCAATGCTATATGATATTGGGTGAGGTCAGCCATAGAAAAGAGAGCAGAGGCTTACCAAGACAGAATGTGCAATCATATATATGGTAGAATATAGAGATACATATAAATAGAACTTTTTTTTTTTTTTCAAACTAAGCACAGTCAAGTACTTTGGTTTCAAACAGGCTTAAAACTAGCAAACGCTCTGTTTGAACTCTCCTTGGTGGAGACACGACGACAATAATGTTTGCGAAACCTCTCGGCATATCTCCAGTTTCCGCGTGCCAGAATTTTTTCGACGGGCAGGTTGTCAAGCCAGCTGTGTGAGGCTACTGCCGAGCGGACACTACCCGGCGGAGCGGCAATGCCAGCGTCTCTGAGAACTGAGTGATTCCAGCCGGAGATAATCGCCTTGGAGGCGGATTTGATCGGGCCCACAATGGTGATGAAGAGTTCATCAAGGTTTTGCATAGCCCGTCTCTCCTATAACCTCTACAGCATGGCCATGATCGAAGTTACTGGGCACAGACGAATATTGGGGTGCCTGGATAAACACCACCCTGACTGACGAAACTGGTTACGATCCGTCTTGGACCCGAATGCAGGCCATAAAGTCAACTCCTTTCTATCATAAAACAGGGAGTCTTTGGAAATTCTTAGCAGCTTTAAGGCGGGGATTCGATGGCCTGAGGTCAAAAGGAGCACTGCTGCTATGCTTCGGAAGAGCTCGAAGAAACATAATTGAAGAGCTGGGGTATTCAGCCAGTCCAAGAGCAGCTGGGCATCCCAAATGGGCGTCTTGATCACTCCAGGTCTGGCAACCCATATTGCTTTGAAGATCTGTCGAACCAGGAAATCTGATGAAATTGAAGTGGGAGATTTTTCAGAGCAAAAGGTGGAAATTGCGGACTTGTGTACTAAAATCGTACTATCAGATAGATTTTCCATGAGGAAGAGATTTGCCAGAAATCTGGCCACGTTGTGATCCCGAGATTGACCTGTATCGATGTTGTTACTACGGCATCACTTGAGCCAGCGACGAATTGGAACTTTGTAAGTTTCCAAGGTGGAAGAGCGCCAGCTGTTAATTACTAATCTCTTCCGCTCGGGGGTCGAATCCTGGACTAGCTAGTTCAACATCTAACATTCCACACTTGGAGACGAAGGCGGTCCATCTTCGGGGGAAGAAGCTGAGTCTTTAAGTCCACTAGTAGTTCTGCCAGGTTGTCGATCGTCAATGGAGGACCTTTGCTGCGGAGCTCCAGGTCCGGCATTCAAAAAGTCTGGTCAAATTTCGAAGCCACTAACAGAATCTCTCCCGCGCAACTGTTCACGTGAGCGAGTACCCGAAGAAAGATGCAAGGAGGAGGGAAGGCCCAGGCCAGATTTAAATGTGAGGGGCGACTGAAAGCATCTGTAAATAAAGTGCAGGAGTTTCTAGACTCCATGGAAACCTACGGGTGTACGATGGCGGATCAGTTTGAAGCGAACAGATCGACATCTGGAAGACCCCACTTCTTCAACACCTTGCTCGTTGCCGGTGGCAGCAACTGCCACTCCGGGGGAGATCCCTTCCGCGATAGACGATTCGCTAAATAGGAGGTATGTATCCGATATTTCAATTTGGAGATCATCGATCCGCTCGGACAGTTTGTAGGTGAGGTTCAGAAGATCTAGAGATTTCATTCGGCCCTCTTTCCGGACGTACGTGCTGAGAGTTCGGCTTTCCGTCTGTTGCAGTATGTGAGAGCCTCGGAGAGACTCCGACTCCTGTTTGATCACGGCATAAACCGCGAACATTTCCTTGCGATTCGAATGCCACCTTTTTTGGTATTCCGACCAGTCCCCCGAGATGAGGGTCGAATTCAGCTGTGCTCCCCAGCCGGTGCCTACGCCATCCGTCGTCAAGGAATCCATTATTTTCCTCTTGTGAAGATCTGAACTGGACTTCATTGCACTGAGGCACCAGCCGAGTTCCGAGTCGACTGATCTGGGGATCTGGAGAGTCTTCCTCTGGCGTTTCTGCCTGAACTCCGTCAAGAATCTCTGCGTGTGACGACAGTGGAGCCGCCCCCTATGAACTGCGAAGTTCGCGAAATTTAGAGAATCCAAGAGGCACTGGGTCTGCTTGAGGCTGGCTTTCCTGGATAAACGGAGGCTACTGATGATGGTTTCGATCTGTGAAATCCCCTTTTCCGGAAGGCTGACCTGGTTCAGCTGGGTGTCCCAGGTGAACCCCAGAAAATCTGTCCTCTGGTTCGAGGATAAGCTGCACTTGTCGAGGTTGACTATCCAACCGAGGTGAGTTAGAAGATCGACTGTCCCCTGAGTTTGGGAAACTAGTCTGGAATGGCTCTGGCAGGCCAAGAGAAAGTCGTCCAGATAAACGATCACCCTCATACCTCGCAATCGAAAAATCTCTGCAACCCAGTTCGATATCATAGCGAAGGTGTGGGGTGCAGATGAGAGACTGCAGGGCAAGCTCGTCATCTGAAGCAGCTCCTCGTTGTAGACCAAGAGAACGAACTGCCTGTGTGATTCCGCGATTAGCACGTGAACGTACCCTTGGGAGATGTCGATTCTGGTCATGAAGTCGTAACCTTGAAGAAATTCTGGAATATGATGGTGAGAAATTAATTGAAACTTCTTGATTTGGACGTGGGCGTTTAAATCTCTCAAGTCGAAGATGGGTCGAAAGTCGCCGTTCCTCTTGATCACTAGAAAAACTCTTGATATGAAGCTCGGGCCTTCTCTTTTTGGGTGTTCCAAAACCCCCTGAAGCTTCAGAAGCTCTATTTGTTTGAACATATCTGGTGAAGGCTTTGTAAAGGAGCGGGAATGTCACCAGGTGCCGATTAGAGTGGGTTCCGAGACCAACGGGTTTCTGGTAACCGAAATGAGACTGAGAATGTATGGAGGAGCTCCAAGCTCCAAGCCTTTCCACTTGTCTCGAAAACCCGCCTCACCTACCACCGATGAAGGCCTGAGGAACTGAAGAGTTATTTACCTTTTTGACGGGAGAAGTCCTCAGATTTTTCTTTGGGCTCCTTTTTAACTCTGGGTTGAAGACGGGACTATTGCTGCCGGAAATTCTGCTGCGAGCCGGAGGAATTCCTCTGATAGAACGCTGGTGTGAAGCCCCCACGAAAGGGCTGAATGGAAAATCTTTGATTGGAAGATCCCCTCCTGGAAGTAGCTTTGCCCGACGAGATGTAGGAAGGCACACTTAGCCAAGTCTGAGTTCCATCCATAGACAGGATTAAAGGCTGTAGGTTCTCCTTACCAAAAAGTTACTCGGGCGGAGGTGAAATTTTACTAAGGACAGCCTGGGCGGTTTTCACGGAGAGTTGCCTGAGGAGACGATCCCGTCACCCTTGAATGGTCTCCGCCCGCTTCCCGCAGATGATCTGAAGAATCTGATCCAAGGCTTTGGCCATGGGATAGTTGGGACCAAAGGCCATCAGTCCATCCAGTATTGAGGAACGTGAAAAATCGGAATGAATTCAGTTCAGAACTTCCTGGAGCTCCGACTGCAGCAATTCCCTTTGCTCGAGGGTTGCGGTGCATAGACCGCCGAGGACACATTCCCATGAAGCCAAGGGTTCTTTCTTCTGCTCTAGGTGACAGAGTTCCTCATTCACTTTCAAACTAGTGAAATCTGGCGAAGCGATGACGGTCTTGAGGGCATTGGAATATCTAATCTCTTGCCATTCAGGCGAGCCAAAACGCTGTAGCTCGGAAAGCACCCTCAGGCGCCAATCGTTGGCCGGGTGAAGGCAACGTCTTTCATCTACCTCTATTTTCACAGACCACAGGTTCACTTCGTACACAGGAGGCGGTGGAGGAACCAACGGACTGAACAGTGCGATGAAGGGATTCATATTTTCCTCAATTGGACGTGTGTGGAGAAAATATATAATTTAATCCGAATAATATTTATATGCCCTGGCACTCCGGAAGTTAGGTTAGAACCAAGAATGATGATATGTTTGTGAGAGAACAGTATGAATGACTAGTTTCGGCTCATACTAGATCACTAAGGGACCAGTAAGGTTCGCAGAGGATCATCACAAGTCCTGGGGAACGAGTTACAATGACCAGAGGCCTTATAAAATACCATAAAAGCATCACACCTTCAGATTTCCACGTTCGAGTTATCCACACCTGTCAAAATGTCGTCAACGGAGTGATTTGGATATTCCGCTAGCCTGAATTACATCAATAGGGCGCAGCATTTTACGGGGTCCACCCAACCTAATCTAGTGCCCACCCAATACCCGAAACTCATTCACGAGACGACAAACATCTCCGGAAAGACGTCATATACCGCCTGACATCAAAGTGGTGCACCTGAGATGAATAGACGGCGCCACCCCGCAGCACGTGGCCGGTGAAGTATGCAAATGAGGCCGGGCTTCGCTAAACGTTTGAATTCAGGGCCGATGTCAAGGCCCAAGAGAAATGGAGCAAGATACATGTGATCGAGAGAGCAATAATCATTTCCGCCTTCATCATCTATTCCATCTCTACCGTCAGACGTTGTACATCGTTTAATTCCTAATAATCGTGTGGGTCTATTTATTCGTCAGAAATTAAACGTGGGGAACTCGGCGGGGATTTTGGAAGAAAAGGCTTCCCAGATGACTATTTCAAGACGATATATTGGCGATTCCTAGGGCGAACTCCAGGCAAAATAATCAGGCGACAAACCCAGGCGAATTTTCGAAGCGGTATTCAACAGGCGAGCACGTAGCGAACTACACCAGCAGCCGACAGCGTGAGCCGAGCGAATGGTTAACGTGAGTGTTCACGTTTAAAGCGGTAATTACTGGTGCACCGTGATTATTCGTCTGCGTGGGAGAATTTTCGGCCCACCCGAGCTCCTGTCAGCGAAGCTGACAGGAGAAATAGTTAGTTGTTACGAAGACAATCGACTCCATCTTGAGACCGCGTGGGGCATTTAAGTCGATGCAATGGCGATGCGAGAGATGTTAAATCTTTTCGGGCGATCCATGCGCTATTCCGTGGTGAAATATTGGGGAGAATTGACCGACAGCGATAAGGGAATTTTCTGAGATACTTATAATTTGAACTTGTGGTTCTATTTTCTTTTCTGTTTCATAATTGTTTTCTGAAGGCCCAAGTGAGAGAGCAAATATATCTCGGCTGGCGTCGTGGTTCAAGAGGCATTGGAAAAGCCGATGCGGTGGCCACGGCCCTGCGCTTCGTACATTTACCACTGGTTGAATTGTTAAAATAATCATCGAGCTTCTCTATCGTTTTCGGACAGCAATTCATAATTTAGCGGTCAGTAATTATTATTTTTGGTTTGTGTAGAATCTGATTGACCGGGTTTTTCGGGAAATTGTATTAGGATTTTCTCTATTTTTTATTCTCATTCTTCTTTCTATTTTTCGTAGCGAACGAAAGTATTATTTTAATTGGATTATTATTTTGGGTGATGATCCGCATTTATTACATTTATTTTTGTTTTCTCGAATAATTAAATATCAAATTTATAGAATAGAGGAATCTTTAGTTACTCAACTTCTTTCTCTCTTTAGTCTTACTGAACAATTCCCTCTTCCCAAAAATGAGGTATCTAGGTTGAATTAAGCACGAGCACATCTAATAACAAAAAGGTAAAGTGGGCATTGTACTGCGTGCGCCCGGACGGCGAAGATTTTTCAGGAAAGTAATTCAGGAAAGTATGGTTTTTCTTGTTTTTTTTTTTTGAAGGTGAGAATTTTGGGGGAATTTATGGATAAGTGTCAGATCTTGATACTAGTGAAGAAATACTAGAGTCTAACGGGATGCAGCAATATTTTGTTGGATCATACTCATTTTGCACATCGTCACAATCGCACAGTACAACTTTACAAGCTTTAGCTTATTGAGTAACCACAGACTCCCCTCAAAAGTAATAAGTAATAATAAATAATAATCAATAATAGTTGCGCGAGCGAATTAATCTCCGGATTTTATCTCGTGACAAATGGAAGACCTATTTGATATGCTCTAGCGTACTGAGTCAAAAGAGACTTCTACTCTTATTCTGCATTTAAACAAAAAAATCAGGCCCGGTCGCGCGCTTCGTGCGCTCACTCTTTGGGGTATGACCGGTAGGGGTTGGTGGAATTGAGTGTGACCCATTACGGGTCGAACCAATAACTTCCGGACCATTTGTCTTTGTTGACGCTGGGGTCATGCCCCAGTGAAAGCGGCGCATGCTATACGCAACGCTAGTCATTGTCAGAAATATTCGGAAAACAGTTGGATAGTTATTTCATGCCTTGCATGCGTTTAGCGTTGCATCCATTGTGGCATAACCCTTAGGGTGATTTCGCAAAGAACGCATTTGCAATTCAATTTAACTCAAACTTCAATCAAGTTTGAGTTAAACCCACTTTTTACTTGACCCGCTTTAAAATTCTCTCAACTCCGAAGCTGATCCACTTAAAAATTTGCAACTTCCAAGTTGACCCACTTCAAAATTTTGTAACTTCAAAGTTAACCCACTCTAAAATTTTCCAACTTTCCCTTTTTTTTAATTGCAAAATTCGAAAGTCTTATTTCAAAAACTCAACAACCACTGAGGCGATTATGCTCAAAATCCAATGAGAATCAAGTTATGTGGAGACGCATCGATCACACAAAATTAATTCCAATCCCATCGTTACCTTAGGTAAAATGTGAATGAAGTAATTTTTCTAGGTGAATACAATGAATTTTGAAGAGATTGTCATTCCTTTACATGTTTTATGCAAATAACTAAGAAACTGCTGAGGCAATCGTCCTCGTATACTCATCGGTTCGAGGTTTTTTTTAACACTCATAGATTGAAAAAAAGATAATAATCACATCATTTCTCGGCATAAAATCTTTGAATTTTTGTCATTTTTACACATATTTCATGCGAATAACTAATAAACCATTGCCACTGTCGCCTTCATATACTGATCACTCCTATGTTACATGAACACGCATCGATTGAAATAAAAAAAAAATGAGAACGATAAGATCTCTTCGGATAGAATCATTGAATTTTCACGAAATCGTCATTTTCTACATGTTTTATGCGAATAACTAACCAACCGCTGAGACGATCTTCTTCATACATTGATCACCCTCGAGTTACATCAACACGCATCGACTGCAATAACAAAAATGCGAATGACATCATTTCTCCGGATGAAATCATTGAATTTCCAAGAAATCGTCATTTTTTCACATGTTTTATGCGAATAACTGAGAAACCGCTGAGGTGATCGATCTTATAATCTAATCAGTTCTAAGTTACATCAAAACGCATCGATTGAAAAAAAAATTCGAATCGCTTCATTTGTTCACAAGATTACGTTGGACAACATTTTGGTCACATACGTACATACACACACACACACACACACACATACAGACATGTCTCCAAAAAAATTTTAGGATGATTCGAGAGGCCGAGAAATGTGGAGAAATCATGGAAATTCCAAATTCGATTTGCGGGTTCATTACAATAACTTCCTCCCTTCGGCTCAGGAAGTTAAAAATCACTATAGACGAGGAGTAATAATCTTTAAAACCTGCCTCGTCACAACAGGAAGGGATGATGGACGGCCGCTGGATTGGCCGCTGTTGTCGGGGCCGTTGGCGAGCTGGCAGTCAGAGGCGATGAAGCTTTTTCCAATAACAAAGACGTATAGAGGTTAACCTGTTTTTGAAGAGAGGCGAGAACTGGAGAATCCGAACGGTGCCTCTTGGAAGAGGGAGGCTCGTCCTCCGAAGATTTCTCGTAATCGACCAGGTTGGTTGGAGTTTTCGGTACCCCGTGCCATTGGAAGTAACTGAACATACTCAATCGACTGTCGTCAGATGCATCGGCGTCCTCAAAGCCAGAGCCTCTTTGGTCCAGAGAAAGTCTTTCTCGGTTGGACGATGACATGTTCGTGGAACAGGAACTTGTACAACACTTATCCTGAATTCCGAGCCCCAGAAAATAAGGAAGAATGACGACAAACACAAATAAAATGGAGGATAATTTTTTGGGCGTCCAAGATGGCCGAAAAATTTCAACGCTATGACGTCAGCCGCAGCTCTCGCTGCTCAGTAGGCGCCCCGCGCATGCTTTGCATGCGGAGAAATGGGGTAAAAGGGGCTAGAAAAGGGCACCTTAAGCCGAATATTCAACAGCTTCTTTCATAAGGATACCATGTCTCGCCCCAAAGCACATAACCAAGGATAAATTAGTAGTAATCGGTATTTGTTATTTTCGTCATGGAATCGGTGTAGGCACGATAACTCTCGAAAAAACTGAGATAGATAGCCTAAATTTGGTATGATTGTAACTTATGGTACTGTACGAAGAGAAAAATTTTGTCATCTTCTGATACGAAAAAACCGATTTCTTGTGCCAAGAAATTCTTACATCTTCATGAAATGTTCATGTTCAAGTCATGAACGCTTCACCAAAATCTAATATTGTCTGACACATTATTCGAAATTCTGATCCCAAGAAATTTATCCACAAGAGATGAGATATTTGGAGCAAGAATAGGATATTGTGCACCAAGGGAGGACAACACGCGGGTCAGGATATCCTGCTGTTCTCCCACGGTGCACAGAATATTTTCCGTCATAACTGCATGGCTAAGTTCGATTTTTCTCTGTAAATTAAAGGGAGGAATGTGGGTTATATCATTCCGAGGATCTTCTAAAACGGTTAAAATCCGAGGAATGAAATGAGTCACTTTTCTCCCGTCTTTTCGGGAGGAAAATCGAACTTTCCGCGCAGATATGACGGAAATTAGTTTTGTAATATTATGACGATATTTCTCTCAGTGTACAGGCTGGTTTTGTGGAGGGGTAAAATCGGATGAGTAGTTTAGGTGATAATGAACTTTTTGTGAAAATATGTTTTGATCAATATCTGCTAAACAACTGGTCAGGTTGAAAACATGTTTTTTTTTTTCAAAATACTCGTCTCGACCTCCTCTATCGAGATCAACCAAAATATGGATTCCTGTTCATACAAAGTTTTTGAGTTATTCGCGTTTCTCAATTTTTTTCATCTCAGAGTTGATTTAACATTTCACAATAAACGTAGACAGTGGGAATAGAATTCAAAATTTTGGATAATAGTCAATACCATTGAATCACACTAGTGTATAAAATTTTGGGCTGATTGATTCAATACATTTTGGGATAGAGCAATTTATCTAAAAATAATTTTTCTCAAGCAATGAAACATTATCATTCTATGATTTTCAAATCGGTATGATTTAAGAAGTCATCTACCATCAAATTATGTTTTTTGTTGCATCATATTATGGCAATGTTTGTTACTGTGACAGACACAAATGTGTAGATGTAGTGGCTCGCTATATACACATTCATATACACATTCCTACATTGGGAAATTCGACGTTTCAAGTGGCAAAAAGTGAAAAGTTTCTCACGACCGCGTGCGATCCTTGACCGAAAGTGCTACTCTCGCCTATAGTATTTTATTCCATCTCTCTGGTCAACACAGTCGCGCTGATATAGTCTTTCACGTATCGCGGGCACCGCGAGTGTAATTGAATCGTTGTCGCACCCCTGAAATAATAATTGTCATCGCGTGGTAACTAACTGGTTAGGCATTGCAACCGGCGTCTCGAAGCCTCTCGAACATTCGAAGCGTCCGAGCGTCAACCGTTGATTTTTCAGTACCATTGTGAAATCAAAACAAAGTGCCGTACTCGAGTGAATATTGTGACCTTGCGCCGGTATATTGCCGAGCACCCAAAGACGTTGTACTGTGCTGGTGACATATAAAGAATAATAACGACTTTATTTCCTCACAATTTATGCTGCACGAATTTATTTTCTCCTGAATTTACCACAAATTCAAAATGGTGTCAGCAAGCCCGGACATTGAGACTATCAACACACTCACAACAGTAGTGGCTTCCGTGAAACCCAAGCTAATCGCCAGGCCGTTCAACTCCAAAAAACCCGCGCTTTGGTTCGCGCAGTTGGAAACGCAGTTTGCGGATATCGGAGTTATCACCGAAATAGATAAGTACAACAAAACTGTACCACTAATTGATACATTTTACGCGGCAGAAGTTGAAGATTTAATCATCTGCAGACCTGTAAGTAATCCATATCAAACTCTAAAAACCGAGTTGATCAGATGTTTTACAAAATCTCGGACTGCTAATCTCATCCAATTACCCGACAGAGAGAGCATTGGAGACCGCACTCCGTCAAAACATCTCAGACACTTGAAAAGTCTCGTTCCAAGTATCGACGATGGGATCCTCAAAACGGGTGGCTGTCTCATCTTCCCGAGCAGACGCGTGCTACACTCACCACTCAGGAGAATACTACCGTTGAAGACCTGGCGAAGTTGGCCGCCAGAATGCCCGAGGTATTCCACCTGAATAGCGTCGCAGCCATCACCACTTCAACAGACAACGCGAGTAACAAAGCACTCTTCGAGCCACTGGACCAACTGATGGCATCTGTTCCCGCGATACCAATGCATGGCTCACATTCTCGTCCACGTGAACGCTCTGAGAACTCACGCGGTCAGCGCAGCAACTCACGTAGACGCTCAAGCTCCAGGAAATTATCTAAGAAATCCGACACCTGGTGGTATCATATTGAATACGGTAACAACGCGCGTGACTGCCAGCCCGGATGTAAGATTCAGGTAAACTCCAGGGACAGACAATAGTGGCGGAAGTCCTCTCTCAATCGACATCCCGCCGCCTATTTATTACTGACAGTACGACTGGGACCCAATACCTCATGGATACAGGCTCAGATATCTCTGTTACATCGTGCAGGCGGCCTGCAAATCAGAGGGACACCAGTGGCAATTAACTCTTCGCAGCCAACGGCACCCCCATCAATACGTACGCGTACACATCCATCTCGCCAGAACTCGACCTCCGCAGAGACTTCACATGACGATTCGTGGAAGTTGACGTCAGCAGACCAGTCCTTGGCGCTGATTTTCTGCACCATTTCAATCTACTACCTGATTTGAGGAATGAGTGCCTCATTGACCGCTCAACAGGCTTCAAATCGACTGGCCAGTTCACGTGTTTTCCCGCGCTGTCAAGCTCCTCGAGATCAATGAAGATTCACCGTACGTGAACATTCTCAAGGAATTCCCTGCAATAACAAAACCGGAGGGATGGCTCAGAAATCTGGATCATGCCATCGTCCACCATATTAGGACTACATTAGGACCGCCAATCTCTTGCATAGCATGTCGACCTAGCGCCGGAAAAACTCAAGATCGCACAGGCTGAGTTCTCCAGTACGCTGAAACTAGGAACTGCAAGTAGATCTGAAAACCCCTGGTCATCTGCACTCCACCTAGCCTCGAAGAGCAACAATGGATAGAGACCATGTGGTGATTAGCGCACACTTAACGACAAGGCCATACCAGATGAGTACCCTGTTCAGTATTTAGAGGAATTTGTCGCCAATTTTTGTGGCAAAACCTTTTGTTCCACCGTCGCTTTGGTAAAGGCATTCAATCGAATTCCAATTGTACCTGAGGACATCCAGAAAACGGTAATCATCACGCCATTTGCATTTTTCGAATTCCCATACATGACTTCCGGCCTCAGGAACGTAGCTCAGACTTTCCAACGTCTGATCGATGAAGTCACGCGCGATCTGCCATTTTTGTTCCCGTATATAGAAGACATCTTGGTAGCATCGGAAAACGAAAAGCAACATCGGGAGCACTTGAGAATGCTCTTTCAACCACTCATGGGCTACGGGCTGATAATCAACGTCGCCAAATCAGTTCTGCGACAGCCGGAAGTACTCTTCCTCGGCTACGTGATGAATGCTCAAGGCTTCAAACCGCCAAGGGATCGAGTTAACGCGATGCTGGAGTTTACAATACCTACCACGTTCAAGTCACTCCGCAGATACGTTGGAACTCTGAATTTCTACGGAAAGTGCATCAACGGAGCGGCAGAAATCCTCGCCACACTGAACGCCGCGACTCAGAGACCGAACGTCAAGGGGAAGCATCCACTGGCATGGACTCCAGCCCTTCAAGGCACTTTCACGCGTAGCAAAAACGCTCTAGCAGAAGCCACTCTGTTGTCCCATCCAAACATCGGCGCAGAGTAGACCATCTTCACACACGCGTCAGATCACGCAACCGGAGCCATTCTACAACAAAAACGCTATAATTCCTGGCATCCGCTAGCTTCCTTCAACATGAAACTAACGATTTCCTCGCAGAAACATGCGGCTCACGACACAGAGCTACAGGCGATTTACGAAGCGGTACTACACTTCAGATACATTTTTGAAGGACGTCACATGATTATATTTACCGATCACAAACCTGTTATGCCCTAAATAACGTTATGAAATCCCTCTGTCGATCCCAATAATATGTTGACCCGAAAGTGGCACATAATATCCGTAACAAAACAGAGAATGAATAAATATAAAATAACGTCGAATATTCGTGCATTAAATCCACGTATATTCTACGAATGTAGTTAACTAGGGTGCAGCGTCAGCATTTTGCGTTCCGATGACTGACCTTCACGCGCACCTGGAGACGTCACCCGATGCCTCGCAGAGGTGCGACGAAGAACAATGACCTGATGGAATAGAATCCTCAAAGGAATAAAAACCCGTGAATTAATTGCCTCTAGGCGACTTATTCGACGAGTCATTAATTATCTTCTTCACATTTTATACTCGCCTGATACCTTCAGTATCAAACCGAGTTCTTATTTATTCAATAAATGGTAAATTAATCGCTCAAAACCGATTCCCAATAAAGAACATTATTTCTATTATCTACTCGCGTGTGATTAATCCCTGTATTGAACCCATTCGCTCCGGTCCATAACAAACCGATGACCCCCGTTTTGGAATAAAAATCAGAATGAGCTTCACCCTGGCAATATCGAAAATTGGACCTTATCGCCCGATTTTTCACGGACATAAGATACGTCGCGGGCCCAGACAACATCGTGGCAGACGCCTTGTGATGAGTTGAATCAGTTACAACCGCTATCACAACTCAACAGCTGATAGATGCCCTGCGCGACGACCAAGAACTTCAGCAGCTACTCCAGCGACCGGACGTGAACCTACATTTGGACCGCCTACAACTTCCAGGAATGGACGAGCCACTGTACTATGATGTATCATCAGGTACAGTCCGTCCATACGTACCAGCCCCGCTGAGAAAACAAGTAGTATCCTCACTTCACTCGCTAGCACACCCTGGACGAAGAGAAATGCAAAGATTCGTCGCGAAATACTACGTCTGGCTGTCCATGAACAAAGACTAGGTAAAATGGAGCACACACTGTCTGCCGTGCCAACGCTAGAAAGTCATGCGAAACGCAACCATACCGATCGTCGAGTTCGAATAACTCTCGCAACGCTTCGAACACCTCCACATCGACCTGGTACCTCTGCCACACTCGAAAGGATATAAGTACTGTCTAATCATCGTAGACAGGTTCACGCGTTATCTAGAGGTAATTCTGCTCCAGAACGAGTACACGAGCACCGTGATTCATGCACTCCTCTATTATTGGATCGCAAGATGCGGCGTTCCAAAGAGAACAGAGAACATTGGACATAGACGGACAATATATCGCGGACGTGCACAGACAACTCACTCAGCTCCTTGGAATCGAATGAGAGCTGACAACACCGCTCCATCCACAAGCTAATGGACTCGTCGAGAGAGTCCACAGGCAACTGAAGTCAACCCTATGCTGCCGTGGAGTCGTACTACGGCGCGTTACCTCTAGTTCTGCTGGGACTTCGAATATCCTGGAAAAATGACATTCAGAGCACCCCAGCAGAGTTAATATATGGAGAGAACATTAGAATCCCCGGAGAATTCTTCACGCCAACGGACAGGAAAGGAGCACCGGAGCTACTACGCGACCGACGAAGCCACTTCGACCGCGTTTAACCCGCGCCAGTATCATGGCATGGAACACGACCAATTTTCACATGCAAAGATTTGGCCAACAGCTCGCACGTCTTCATACGTACCCAGACGCAAGCTGACAATCATTCTCCACCGTATGACGGCCCATACCAAGTCATCAGTCGACATGCGAATCACTACGTGGTTCGTACACGCGGTGTGGGCAGAAGCGTTCCATGGATAGAAACACCAATCTTCATCGATAGGCTAAAACCTGCATACATACTGCCGGAGGACATGGATCAACTTCCAGAGCAACCCCCACGCCAAAATGATGAGCCCCAACAGTAACAATAACAGAATAAGCCGCAGCCAAGCACGAGCACTGCAGCTGACACTGGAAGACGGAAGAGACGCGTAACTTTCGTCGACAGACCAACAATTCACGTGTTCTACGATTAATTTTTCCACGCAAACTTTTTTCTCAACTGCTTGCCAAATTGAAAATTTATCTGTTTTAAGAATAATAGTTTTTCTGTTACAGTTCTAAAAACTTCATTTTGACTCAAGCAGGGGAGTCATGTAGCGGCTCGCTACATACATATTCATATACACACCCGCGCTGACCACCGATACCAAGAGAAGGTGATTGACAGAAGTACGAAACCTCTTGCGCCGTCTCACTCGCACTCATCGTGCCACGCGTATATATCTGATTTCTTCCCTTTACGGAATTCGGGTGTCTTGCGAATCGGGAAACTCAGACAACAGTCGGTTATGAACCTCTTACCGGATCACACCTTTTCGTTACTTTTGTAAATATACTGTGATTAATTAACCTAATCGCATTCGTTAGTGAATTGAATCTTCCCACAACAATCTCAATTCTTACATAGAGGGATATAATTTTTGAGGGTTGAATTTTGGAACAATCAAAGAAATCTATGTCACTAAAAGAAATATCTTCCTGCAGACACTCTATTGCATGTGATTACGGTTACATGCCTGTCACAAAAACAGGACATTACTCCGGATCCAATCAGACGCTTACTGTCAATGGAATTGGTAGAAATAAAAGAAAGAACAATACTGTTGGATAGGTTTGAACCTCTGCTTGTTTTGTGAAGATTCATTTTAAAAAAAACCGCAAGCAATATAGGGACATATTTTGTTGCATGACTTTCTGCATCATTTTCAAGCCAAATTCGAAAACCGTAAAAACGGACGATTACGAAGCTTCCATTCGGAAGGAAAAAATGAAGAAAGAGATTTTTTTTTGAAAATTCAACAATTTTGCCGAGGATGATGACGAGATACGATTTTTTGTCGTACGATCGATGCATCTACATCACTGAAAAAACTCTGGTCTTATTCTAATCTAAGAAATATGTCCGAATCGTAAGACCGGATTGTCCGATTTTTTATGGAACTGATTGCTATTATTTTAAATGATTTGGTACTGATTGTCAGGGTGGTGATGGAGAGGGAGGGTCCAACCTTAAGTATTTCTGATCCTCATTTTGGTACCCTTTGGCATCTTGACCCTTGAATTTGACCCGTGTAGTTTGATCTTTATATTTTGTCACTCATATTTTGCTTCTTATATTCTGAGCTTCATAAAATGACGCCTGTCTTCAGACCTTTATATTTCAATTTTTCTACTTTGACCCTTACATACTTTGATGGAATTGGGTGTGGTCCATCATGCGGCTTACGAATAACTTACCGACCGATTCCCTTTTTTTTGTTTATTTGAACATTGGTGATGTGTTCACATTTATCTCTGCAATTTTATTTTAGAAAAAATCAGTGAAAAAATCTTCGATTGTAGGAAAAAACAGTGCCGGGATCAGGAATGAAGGTCGAAATGTGTTTCAAAAAAAAAAATTGGTAATAAGGGTTAGGAATAAGCCTCACACCACGGGATAAAAATATGAGTGTCAAAGTTTAAGGGTCAGAATATAAGAGTCAAAATGTAAGAACCAGAGTTAAGGGGTCAGAACATTATGGTCTGAATCTAAAAGTCTGAATATAAGAATCTAAATATAAGGGTCAGGGACAAGGGTCAAAAATACTATTCAGAAATAAGGGTTGAAGGTCAGAATAAGTTGGAAGACTAGATTCAAAAATGAGTGTTTGAAGGCTTTTAACATTCGTCCATTGAAATTTGTTTTATGAGATGCATGATTAAACTAATGGTTTATTGAATTCGTAATTCAATAAACCATTAATTTAATGATTGAGTAAATTTAGTATGGCTAAATGAATGAAGGAATCAATTCATCAATCAATCAATGAAATCAATTCATGAAACAATTTATCAGGATTAATAAATTTTTTGGTAAGACTTTAAAATGGTCCTAGATTCTCGATGTTAATCGCTGTACGGTACTCAAACCACTTGAAAGATTTTCAAATCAGAACCGTTTCCGATCTTGAAGTTGCGAACTTGAAATTTAAGATCTGAAAG